AACGAGTTGTTACTCATCAGCAAAACTTCCTTTGTGTCCTGCCATTTTACACAAAGTAATCCCGAAGAATTGCATCTGAATTGAGATTCCCCTTTTTGCAGTTTGTTTCCCATAGTTGGTACGTTCTTGCGATTGGACATGCAAGTTCCCATGGTCGCATAGTCTAGTGTAAGTAACAAATTCACACTTGTAAAAAAGCGATCAAAACATAACACTACATTATTTTCTTTGACTGTAGACTCAAGGGCTGTTACGGCTCGCTCTCCCAGAGTTAGTGATTGATTTTTGGCGGGAGTTGGGTCCCCTTTCCAGAATATACATAAACATCATACGTATAGCCCGAATCTGCATCGCAGCGAAGCCATAATTTTATGCCCGTCTTGGTTGGTTTGAGGGGCATATATTGTTTCAAAGAAGATCGACCCTTGAATTTGGTCATATATTCGTCAATACTTTGATACTGGCTATCCTGGCGACACTTTGAAAACGTGTATTTCAAACAAGAAAGCAAATCTTCAATATAATATGTTTTTGAAGAATTTGGGGGTTTCTGAGGAGAAGCAAAGTACATTTTTGAGCTCAAAGTCATGTATCGATCTCTTGAAAAAGTTTTTTGAATTGTACCATTTCCCATTGACTCCTTTTTACTCCAATAATTTTTCAGGCTTGGAAGGCGATTGTAGCACATAATGAACATGCAGCCAATTAACTTCTGTATTTCTCCTTTGTCAGTCATGTTCTCATTCCTCCTTTTTAATTGGTTTAGGATTTTTAGGCGTTCATTTGTACAATTTGCAATGCGCAAATAAAGAGAATGAGGAAATACTTTATGAAAAATCTGCATTGGTGATATCTGGAGCCAGCTTACATTCTCTTTCAGGAGGAAGGATTTTAGCAGGCGCAAATGTTTCATCAGGAATGACCCATTCAAGAACTTGGTTTCTACCAACAGTTACCTGTGGGAAGGCGCAAAATCGATGTCTGAGTTAGACATATCGGACGTATCACTGCCTGCTTCTTCATCGGAATCTGGTTCATAATTGTCACTGGAGTCAGCAGAAAATGGTTTCGAATCTGAGATTTTTTCAATATCATCAATAAGCGCTTCCAGCTCTATTTGTGAAAGCGGACGGCGACGATCCATATTGAAGCTGAAACTGAATAAACGTAATTAGAGACCTGTTGGTATACATGTGTACCACCATAAATACCGGCTGGTACATATATGTACCACATGAATATTACACGCCTGAACACAAAAATTAAACATAGTTTTGGCCTACCTTTGTAAAAACACTAATTACAGTTGAACAGCAAATAGAACTTCATCAAAAAACTGCATAAATAAGCACTTTGTGTGTGTCCTAAATAACTAATTTTATTAGAGTAATACTGCCGCTACTACATACACGTGCTAACTAAATCGACATAACCACAAAATATCCACAATGCATGTTGTGGGTATACTGCGGAAGCCTGATGCACCGGACCGGTACAGATTTATACCAAATAAAATGCTTCATTTCACAAGCAGGAATTTTAAATTTGCCTGGTACATATGTGTACCATTCGGGACGAAAGGGTTAAGTGGCTTAAGGACAATCCGCGACGAGGGCTCATGAAACTACCAAGTATAGCTTTGAAAAGGGTGGAATTTCTAAGGCAATACAATCACGCCAAGGTTGAGGCCTTATACCAGTTTGTCTTCCTCGATGAAACTTGGATATTTCAAAATGGGACCATAGGTCGCTCTTGGCAAAATGGAAACCAAAAAAGCGTGAAAGCTATTAAAACAGATGGTAAAAGGTATGTACTTTTACACAATTTGCACTATAAAATTTAAAACTAATATATTTTAGATACATTATATTACATGCTGGAAATGAAAATGGGTTTATTGAGGGTAGTGAAGCGATATTTTCTTCGAAAACAAAATTGAGCGATTACCATGGAGAGATGAACCAGGACAATTTTTTGAAATGGTTTCAACATCAGTTATTAGAAAAATTGGAGAGTCCATCTATGATTATACTGGATAACGCCCCTTATCACAGCATGATATTGAACAAAGTGCCCAACAATGCATGGACAAAAAAAATATCCAAGACTGGTTGACAAATCAAAACATACCATTTTTAAACACAATGTTTAAAACAGAGCTATTGAGTATTGTTGCTCGGTACATAATGCTTCTTAATTATATATATTTTGGTCGACAGTTTATATTTCTTTTGTTTATTCCTATTCTTAAAATAACTGCTTTTTTAGAAACAAACCACCTAAAATATACGTGATTGATGAATTGGCGGAACAACATGGGCACAAAGTTCTTCGTCTGCCTCCTTACCATTGTATATTTAACCCTATTGAGTTAATTTGGGGCATAGCAAAAGGTTACTATAACAGACATATTGGTAGAGATGGTAACAGTGAAAAAGACTGTTTGGATATGTGGAACGAGGCTCTACAAACGGTTACCCCAGACATGTGGAAAAATAGTGTTCGACATACTGAGCAAGAAATTTTTAAATGGTATGAAAGAGAACGAATTTTTGATCGACCAGACATCGAACCTTCAATAATCAACTTTGAGAGTGATGAAGATTCAGATTCAGACAGCGCTGAAGAAAGAAACTCCGACTAACTTTATTGTACAGAAAAAGATTACACCAGTAGCTTACCTAATTTTAGAATGCATTTTTCTGTATGAATTCTGTAAAATAAATACCATGCATAAAATTTGGAGGACCCCATTTGGATTTTTATTCAGTACCTTTAAGCTATCAATTAAATATGGTAGTTTCATAGTCTCATCTGATCAATAATTGTCATACTTAATGATTATGCAAGTACGGATCTATAATTTTATTATACTATTATTTTTGTTCTCATTTGAGGTTAATATTGCTTATAAACCTAGATATGTAAATAATAAATTTTATTATTTTACAAAAAGTTTGGCAACAATGTAAATTTTTCAACACACCCACCTTGATGACGTGCACGCCACTTTGTTTGGCGTTGACTATACTTATGAGGCATCAACACAGCTTATCCTTTTAGGTCCTACTGCTCTTCTGGCATGCCAACCAATTCGCAGTCAATTTATTAGGCATTATAACGTTACCCGGCTTTTTATCAGCAATCATATGATAGTAAACAAAATAGCTCAGTGAGTGGGAACATGTAAAGTCACATGCATCTAGCAGAAACGTTCAATTTGCGATGTTCTATTTTTTTTTTCAAGCAGACGATTATGGCGGTAGTCAGATTTTTAGCTACTGGCGCAAACAACAAAGGTTTTGAATCCCATCAAATTGTGGGATGCTCAATTATCAAATGAGATATTGCGTTTTTTGGATGTTATATGACATGTGTACGAAAAACCATGTCACTCATTTCTGTCGGTCTGTACGTCAGTGTATCGGTTTGCCGATCTGTCAGTCTTACGGTCTATTGGTCTGTCTGTCCTTAAATCCTTGGCCCGTCTATAACTTGGAAAGTAAAGATGTATGAAGTTTTCACACAAAGTTGCTACTAAGTCATGGATGAACAGACTTTTTGTAGTTTTTGAAAATCAGTCCAGTACCGGTGGAGAAAGAGACCAAATACAAAAAAAAAATAAAAATCGATCAAACTTCGATTATTGACGGTTCGGAGGATCCTGATCAAAGTTTTTTTAGGGGTAATAAATTTGGGAGTGGGAGCTGTAGGGTGATGAGGGGATATGAGATGGTGGAGAAGGTGTATCCCAGTTTCTTGATGTTAGTATATTAATTTCACTTCCAGCTCCGGTAGTTCTACATACCCATTGGACATATTCCGTACATCATACATTTCTCAGTACAGTTGCCATCAGAAAAACCTTGTCGACCGACAGATCATGTAGTTATCGGTCGCACTTGCTGTGGTCCACGGAGGTGTTAGATACTGTATCTTTAGTAGTGGATCCGATAGACTTATTAAAGCAGGTAGTAGACGGCGCAGTGAAGCGATATGCACTTAGGAGGTGGACGCGATATTATCATAGACAATATGGTTGTAGTATAATTGAAGCATTACTTGATTTCGTGAGGAATGAAACATTGTTGACAAACAGTTTTGCTCCAGAGCTCCAAAGAAATGAGACTACCATACGGACACGCTCATTGCTGCAATCTGAGGACTTTCTTTAATCAAAATCCGAAATAGCGCACTAATGTTTATGACAAAATCCACATTAATGCCATTTCACTACATGAAAAATTGTACTGGAAGTTTTATCAAATGCGTGGGAAGTATAGGGGCTACGTTTTCTATTTATTTGCGTATTCCTATATAGTGTGTTACTACAATAGTGTTAAAGGTTTGGTAGCATGTTGAAATTACGCAAAGCCATCATTCCACGTTTTAAGATGCCACCGCGCAGAACCAGCATAGCTCAAAATTTGGAATGATGACTTCGCGCAATCTCAGCATGTTACGGAATCTTTCGCACTGTATAGGAATATGGAAATGAAATGAGAAAACAAGTGAAGTGTGACCTTGAAGACAAATAAATAAAACATGTTGTTCAAACTCATTGTACTAACGAAAGTCTCCGTTGTGATGGAAACGTTTACAATGAAGAGGATTTTTTTAACACATGCGGTTTGGATTGGCCAGAGCCATAGGGGATTAATGTTATTATAATCCAGCTTTACTTATAAATCAAGAACAATAATTCTCTTTCTGTCATATATTGGTGTATCATAATTGCTCTCTAGTTACCTGAATAACAATCATACATATATACAGGGTGTCCCGAAATTGAAGGATAATCCTGCAACCATGGATAGTTTATGTCATGGCCTACTAGATGGTGAAATTCTTTTCTGGTCATGGTTACTTCAGAGAGGAAGATCCCAGTCCACCGATTGTTTCTACTGTGGTGTGGAGATGATAGCCAACATATGCTCTTTTGTTGTCCAAGGTGGTCAAGCATGCACACAATTGTAGTAAAATATTTAATATTGCAAACGTATCAGAGCACCTGATAGACAATCAGAAATCATAGGAGCAAGTATACAGTACGGTAAGAGACAATTTAGAATAAAGAACTAGAGAAAACAATGTATGTACGAGCACCCATATAAAAGTCATGCAAAAGTCTACATTTTTATTAATCCCTTCTTACGTCTGTTATAAATGAGGAGGGGTAGTTTTCGTAGATATCAGAAAATACTAAGTAATTTAAGGCTGGGATACAAAAAATGGACAAGATTGGTGTTGAAAGTTCACTTATCTTCAATATATACTAAGTGACATATAAATCCGAACATCCAGTTTAAATGGTTTTATTTTAATAAAAGTTGGTGAATGTATTTATCTTACTGTAAATAACAAGTGAAAAAATTTTCAGCCTTATCAGTTGGACATTCCGGTTTTTATACTGCTTTTTTTTAATTCACTAATGCTCTAAAAATGAATATTTCAGCCGCAGTAAAGAATCAACGTTGGCGGATTTTGGTTCTTGACATCCTTTACGATCGGTTACGGAGACCTGTACGATTTCGTCAACTTAGTGAGTTTGATAGGGGCCGTATAGTGGGACTTCGGGAAGCTGGACTTTCTTTTCGGGCAATTGCAGTTAGAGTGCAAAGAAGTGTAGACACTGTGGTTAGGTGTTGTCAGGCATGGCTTCGAGAAGGCCGTACGCAAAGGGCAAGGGGCACTGGACGCCGCCGTAGAACAAAAGACCGTGAAGATCGCCGCCTAAGATTATTGGCCTTAAGGGACCGTTTCTCTGGGTGTTCGGATTTATATGTCACTTAGTATATTAGTGTAGTGAGCACCATTGACTGTTATACATGGCATAAATTTTGCCACAGAACATTTTTAACCTAACAGAAAATAATCTCTGGAATGATATTATGCAGTTTTGTCTATAAGATGTTAACTGAGCACTTAGTTGTATCTGTTGAATAAACGTCATGAGGTTTGGTATCAATCTTTGGCTCTGATGTGATGTAAAATCTGCTTCTGAGATGGCATTACTGGAGGTCTAAGCTGTAAGTTGTATGTGTTGATGAAAATTACATTGGGTTCTTGTCTCGAATACACTTAATCGAGATTCAAAGCTATAAATTAGTTGCACGGCCACTTTTTCTTATACATTCTGGAAATTACGTATACAAAGTTGCTGAATTTCAAGAATGAGAGAGATCAGAGATAATTATATTCACTGTACACTGTCGAAGTACAAGCCATATACATGTATGCTAACAGTAATTACAC